TCAGGAATGATTTCAGAGCCATTTTTTGGAAAAAGCATGTACTATAGTCCATAGTTATTTGTTACAGGGAGGGCTGCCAATAGGCTATGTGGGGTCCAGGACAAAAACTTTGATGGTGCCCCTACAGGTACGGGTACAGGACATATCGTACATGTATTTCACAATTTGACTAAAATTCATGTACTAGTATACATGTACAGGTACATTTAAACTACCTCATCTGTTATTTTTCCGTCATTAGTAGCTCCATCATTTTTATCATCAACTTTCTCTCTTCCCTGTATACATATATGAAAAGTCCATCATGATCTGTCTGTTCCAATGCCACCATATTGAGGGTTAATAACAATAATTGCCCTGATGGTGATCGTGTGGAAGAGATAGTCTGGCCACCCTATGGAAGAGACTAGTCCTATCTACAGTCAATAATTGAACTCACTGGAGGAGGTGACCAGTAAAGGGACTATAGCATCACTAGTGTCCAGTGTCAATGAATATATTAATAATAAATCTAACATGGAGGACACTGTCAAAAGGTCACCAGTATCATTAGCACCTAACTGTACATGTATATTGACATGTACATGTATTATTATTGTATATACATGTACATATACATGTATAACTGAATATCGTAGGACCCAATAATAATTGAAGTGTCCTTATTTTAGAGGGTCCTTAATTTATTGATAGTGATTCTATGCTCAAGTTGCCAATAATTACAATATTCTACATTATGAGTATACCCAATGACACTTGGTGAAATATTAAAATTATGTACATGTACATGTACCAAGTGCTGTTGATTTATTTTTATTAATTTCTTCATGTAGTGAGCATGATTGCAGGCAACTGGTGAAGGACTTAAGGAAACAATTGGTTGAAGTGAAAAGAGAGAAAGAAGAACAAATCACAGTATGAATACTACCCTTTATTATCATAATGACATGCATCTACAGTAATTACAATGTACTGTATGTACTATGTATGAAAAATACCCAAGGCTATAGCCCATGGTTTTTTTCAAAAAACGGCTCCAAAATCACGCCAAATTTTTATTACATTTTCTGATGCATATTGATGTACTTATGCTGTGTAGAAAGTTTGAGCTGATTCCGACTTCAATTTTTCAAGTAT